GACTGAGCATGGATTAGAGTATGATTTGGAAAGCTATAGTCCATTGGCCAGATCCAGTCTGAAGCATGTTTTTATATGACCTCCAGGCTATAAATACACATTTTAAAAATTTTTAAAAATTTTTATTTTTTTTAAAGGACAAGAAAAACTAAAATACTCAATAAGGACTATGTTGTTACCCAAATCTAAAATATTTACCATCTTTTCCTTTATAGAAAAAGCATGCTGACTTACGTATTTTAGGTGTAAAACAAAACACAATTAAACCTTTAAAAGAAAACATTGGAGAAAATATTTATGACTTGGTTTACATAGAGAATTATTAGGCATAACACTAAACATACGTTTCTATTAGAAAAATATGTCCATTGACCTCCATCAAAATTTGAAAAATAATATATAAAGATGGTAAATATGTAAATTAAAGATGCTTCATATCATTTGTAATTAGGTTAATGCAAAAATTAGATATGACGGCATATACTCAAATGGATAAAATTAAAAAAAGAAAATAAATCTGACACCACCAAATGTTGGCAAGGATCTAGAGAAATAGGAACTCATTTTTGGTGGGAATACAAAATTGTAGACACTGTTCAAGAAAGTTTGGCCATTTCTTTCAGGACTAAACACAGCCTCACCAATAGTGTAGCAAATTGTACCTGTAGGCATTTACTCAACTAATACATACTCTTAGATTAATACAAAAAAGCGTGAAAGTTTATAGCAGCTTTACTCATAATTGCCCAAAACTTGAATCAACCAAGATGGCCTTTAATACCTTCATGGACAAAGAAAATACGTTATATCCAAAGATATCCAACAGTGAAAAAGAATGGGTTATCAAACAACACAAAGATGTAAATGATTCTTAAACACATATTGCTAAGTCGATCTGAAATGCCATAACACTAGGTCTTGACATGACAGCCTAGAAAATGCAAAACTATAGAGACATTATGGAGAACAGTGGTTTCAGTGGCTTTGAAGTAAAGTACAGGGTTTTTTTAAGGCAATGAAACTAATTTATATGACAATGTAATAAAAAATATATAACACTAAATTTTTCAACACCCATGGTACTTTGCAAGACAAAGAATGAACCTTAATGTATGCAAATTGAAAACAAAAATTCATTTAGGTTGTCAGGGGAGCCAGGATGTAATGCAGAATGTGATAAATAGATCTAACCATATTACAAATGAACTAGACAACTTCACTGAAGAAGGTGGGAGAAAAAGATGATGACTCAAGTAACTTTGGAAATGAATAGAGTTTGTGAAACTAAACACAAAAGAAATGCCATAAAAATATCTTTCAGATGATAAAGATGTGCCTTTTGGAGTTGCATTTTCACACTCTGAAACCACTATATACATACACCAGAACTGAACATTTGGGTAAATATATGGTAAGTGATGGGAACCAGGTTTTCCCTTGCTGGAGTGGAAGATGGACAAGTGAGAACGTTACAGTTATTCATGTTGTAATGGATTAGAGTTGGAAACCTCAGGATGAATTTATTTAAGTTAATATAAATACAGATAGTAACTCATAGAACTTTTAATGTATATGTATACATACACAATTTTATATATGCACATGCAATTTGCATATAGTTATGAGTCCTCACTGATATAAATGCATAAATGTATACATAAATAATAAATAACTAGGATAGTCAAATATTCCATGCAAAATAACTCCAAACAACTTGTGTTAGATATTTTGCCTTTGAGGAGGTGAAATAAAACTATCAACTCCTTAACAGTGACTGCACATAGTGACATTTCACCCAAAATAATTCAGTATGGAAAAGGAGAAAAAGATTAACTTTACATGAGAAAAACAAGACAAACACTATCTAAACCAGATGATTCAGGTTAACACAAATAGTGATAAATCATGTTGATAGCATGTACCCTTATGAGGTGATAAGAATGGCACTTTACCTCCATACTCTTGCTCCCCAAAACCAATTAATTCCAGTCTCACAGTGAGAAAAACATCAGACAAACCTCAATTGGAGGACTTTCTACAAAATTCCTGGCCAGTACTTCTCAAAAAGTAAAAATCATCAGAAATAATCAAAGTCTGAGAAATTGTCAAAACCAAGAGGAACCCAAGGAGACATGACAACTAAATGTAATTTGGTTTCTTTGATGGGATACAGGAAGAGAAGAAGGGTATTAGTCAATAGCCAATGAACTATGAATGCCATGTGGGCTTTAATGTATCCATATTTGTTCATTAACTTCAATAAGTGTACCTTATTAATATAAGATTTTCATAATAAGAGATATTGTGTGTCGAGCATATGGCAACTCTCTGGACTATCTTTACTTTTTTTTATTAAATCTAAAAACTATTTCAAAGTAAAAAGTTTGTCAAGAATGCTCAAAAGTTTTGCCCCATCAAAGATGGGGCTAAGAAAATATAAGGACAGGTTAAAGAGTTGGGAAAAAATATTTGTAAACTACACATCCAGCAGAGAATTTGTATTTAAAATTATTAAAGAACTTCTGAAATTCAACAGTAAGAACACAACCCCAGGCAGAAATGTAACATAGTATGGTCACTCTGAAAAACCATTTGGAATTTTCTTTTTTATTTATTTATTTATTTTTTTTAATTTTTTATTGGATTATAGGTTTTGGGGTACATGAGCAGAGCATGCAAGACAGTTGCGTAGGTACACACATGGCAGTGTGCTTTGCTTTTCTTCTGACCATGGGACCCAGTGATCCTACTGTTGGACATTTACACTGGGTGGGGCATGGGAGAAAACATGTTCACACAAAAGCTTTTACATAAATGTTTATAGCAGCTTTATTAATAACTACCAGAACCTGGAAACAACCATACTGTCCTTCATAGGTGAATGAATAAACCAATTGCAGTACAACCATACCATGCAATACTACTGTGAAGTAAAAATACAATAACTACTGATATGTGGGGTAATACAGATGAACCACACAGGCATTATTCTGATTAAAATAAATAAGCCACAAGCGCTTTTATATTGTATAATTCCATTTAGGTGGCGTTCTCAAATAGACAAAATTCTACCAGTGAAGACAATAATGGTTGCTAGTAGTTAGCAACTTCAGGGATTGTGATTATAAATGAGAGCAGGAAATTTCCTTGGATTGGCAAAATTATTGAGTATCTTAATTGTGATGAGTATTTGCAAAACTATATCTGTGTTTAAGTTTATAAAACTGTATACCCAACTAAAATCAATAAAAATATCCATTAATGTAGTTGAACACTGAATAAGTAATTACAAGTGTGTTACATATTACAAAAGGGGAAGAGAGAGATTCAAAAACCTATAGCAAAGACACCTGACTTAGCCTGGAGACTTGGAAAAGATTCTGAGACGTGCACTTAGAGGTAATAATTGTAGAATGAGTGAAAATTGTGAAAAAAAGAAGAAAAACTATGTTCACGGGGAAATGGAAATGAGGAGAGAGTTTAGAGATTTAGAAAAAATTCAGATTAAACCAGCATATCTGTAACATAAAGTGGAAGTTAAAGAGGAAGTTGACAGGGCTGAAAGAAAGGGGAGGTAACCAAATCTTCCAAGGTACTATCAACCATGGAAAAGCCTGTGAAACTATTGGTGGGTAAATTCATTTTCTTAAAGGTTAACAAACTTGGACTACAATATATCTTACTGAATGAAGACGTTGCTTAAAGTAGCAATACCCATTGGGCTTAATTTATAAAGCAGTGAAGTGCTGCCAAGCAGTTTTATACCAGTTTATAGGAGAGGAAATAGATATATTTTTATTACCAAACACTGTTACAGTGGCAACCATGCTCAGACCTAAAAATTAATCACCACTACCACATATGCCATACATAATTATGCTCATAAATATGAAAGCATGAATACATAAAATGTATAAATAAAACTGCATATAGAAGGCAAAATTTAGGAAACCAGGAAATCCTATGGCAGTAAGGAAGCTAAATGGTCATGTCTTCCAAAATGGAATACTGTTTCTCAGGAATAATGGGGAGCTGCATGAGATAATTTAGGAGGTACATGGATATTTAAAATTTTAATAGCTATAAGTTTATTTTAATATGCAGTATAAAAATAAGCTATTAATAGCATATCAGTGGCTGAATTTCATAGATATGATTTCTTAGGTTGAAGCTATTTTTTTTAAAGAAGTAAATAAAATTAAAGTTTATTTTATTTTTGAGATGGAGTCTTGCTCTGCAGCTCAGGCTGGAGTGCAATGGCATGATCTGGCTCACTGCAGCCTTTGCCTCCTGGATTAAAGTGATTTTCCTGCCTCCAAGTGATTCTCCTGCCTCAGCCTCCTGAGTAGCTGGTACTACAGGCACCTACCACCATGCCTCGCTAATATATGTGTGTGTGTATATACATATAGCAGAGTTGGGTTTCACCATATTGGCCAGGCTGGTCTTGAACTCCTGATCTCAGGTGATCCACCTTCCAAAGTGGTGTTTTTACAGGTGTGAGCCACCATGCCCAGCCTAAGTTTATTTTTGATATGTTAATCTATAAAAGCATAAAATACATGCCAATATGCAAGAAATTGAGATGATTTTATACAAAGATAGAAGTTTAAAAACCTCTCCTTATAAAGTATCCCAAGTGTGTGTAGCGTCTCTGATAGAACATATACATGAAACATAAAAACATTAGTTCCAAAACAGCAATTTTCATTATGAATGTTCTCTAGGTAGTTAGAAAAACTGCTTAATGCTAGCTCAAATTGGCCTATCTGTAATTTTCAGTTATTGATCTTATGTAAATTTTCAGACAATATAAAATAACTTGAGTTATTTTTCTGTGGCCTACAGAAGTGTGACTATGAACGGGTTACAATGTAATGATTTTAAAATGCTGGTAAAGACCATAGAGGGCATGTTAATATCACTGCATTTATGTATTTCATAACAGAATAAATGTCAATTTAGACATTAAAAGGATAAGGAATAAATAACAAACCTACCATTGCCTTCCATCTTTATCTTCTCCAACTCCATGGCACTGGGAGGAAAATGGAGGTTCAGGAGACAAAGGTTACTCAGAAAATCAGTAAAAGATACAAAGTCATACAAAGAGAGAAGACATTTCCTCACCCAATCATTAATAATACAGCTCCTCTCCAGGTTTCATTCCTTAATGTGAATCTGTTTATTCAAAATAATAGTTTTTTTTTAATTTAGTAAAACAAGCCTGTCTTCCCCCTGAAAAACATTTTATATAGATGTTAAGGTTTTCTAGGGAGATGTCAAGCTCACAGTGTGGCTTGTATTTTGGTGGGAAGAATCACCAGAAAAGTAATACTCCTTAGAAAATGGCTTATTATCTAGGATTTTTTCTTTCTATATGTGACACACATTGCACTTCCAGGTACCACTCAGTTACCCTGACCAGATTTCTAAAAGACATACTACTTTGTTCTCATCAACAATGACAAATATCTGACATTTTGATCGTGTGAATCTCCTATCTCAGTTCAGTCTACAGTTGCCTACTTTTAAGCTATTAAAGTTGGATTTCGATTTCTTGTTTTTAGTTTTCTGGCTTATTAACAAATGTGGTCATAGATAATAAAAAGGTAGCTTTAAAATATCACCGAACCTCCTACATCGTTGGCTATTTAGGAAAAAATTCCCCTACCCATTTCTGTTATCTCTTTTTCTCACCCCATTTCCTTTGTGAGATTCTGCAAGGGTTAGAAGCATCAGCTAGAGAAGGGCTGCGCAGGACGCAGCAAAGACGAAAGATGCTGACCACACCTCTCTTCTCCCTACTGCATGTTTTTTTTTTTTTTTTTTTTTTTTTTTTTTTTTTTTTTGAGATGGAGTTTCGCTTTTGTTACCCAGGCTAGAGTGCAATGGCACGATCTCGGCTCACTGCAACCTCCGCCTCCTGGGTTCAGGCAATTCTCCTGCTTCAGCCTCCTGAGTAGGGATTATAGGCACGTGCCACCATGCCCCGCTAATTTTTTTGTATCTTTAGTGGAGACGGGTTTTCACCATTTTGACCAGGATGGTCTCGATGTCTTGACCTCGTGATCCACCCGTGTCGGCCTCCCAAAGTGCTGGGATTACAGGCTTGAGCCACCACGCCCGGCCCTACTGCATGTTTTCAGCCTCAAATAAGCCAGAGAGAGATGGTGACAGAGGGAAAAAAATTTACCTTTAAATAATATTTAGCGTTTTCACTCAGATGAGGCATTCTAGTTACTGAAATTAGATTATTTTTGTGGCAAATATTAACAAATTGAAAAAATATTATATAGAAACTAAAATAAACATGTTTACCCTCTGAGCTTTTCATTAAAAAGGGATAATAAAACCTCAAATTACAAAATATTGAAACTAGAGGCTATACTAAATTTCCCCCATTTTACATGTCTACCATCTTGAACATCTTATTATGGTAACACAGATTTACATTTATTACCATGGTTACTAATCATTGAATGAATTCTGCCAATGACCAGTCAATTGGGATAATAAAACTTCATATTCACTGTGACCAGAAATCTGGTTTCCCATTCATGTGTTTTGATAAGAATTCAGATATGCATTGTATAAACAAGAAGAAGCCAACAATATGTCAAATCCTGCAGAACAAATATTTAGTTTTATCCAATACATTAGTATGATAGGCACAAACGTAGGTTAGGGATGCTGCTTTTTTTAACTGTTAAAAAGAAGTAACTGATGTGATTGAATAATATTTGTTCTTATTTATATCAAGATTTCCCTGATTCAGCTCACAATTTAGAAAAACAACCTCTTATCATTATCTATATCTACGTTTCATAATTTTTAATTTCAAATGTAAAGAAGCATGAACATTTCCTTATAAAAAGTGCTTAATCCACAGATTTAATCAAATTTAAACACTTAAAAATGCCACATTTTATGAAATAGAAAAGAAAAAATAAGCTAGCCAGCATCTGACTATTCCCTCCATGATTTATGAAGTTTGCCTAGGAGAGGAGTTAAAGAGGCTCTGCCATTGAATATTCCTGCCGCCTTGGAAAAGCCATATTCCTAAGTTTCAGTTTCCCCTTTTTTAAAGTGAAGAACTTCAATTAGATGAGCTTTTTGTTACCATTAAAAATGTATATAATTCTGTTTTCTAACTTGGGAACAATTCATTTGTGCTTCCAATTTCAAGAAATGGTGTCGGTGTGCATAATATTCAGTTTAACTTCTTACTCTTTCAAGCTATGCTGCTGGAAACAAGAAGAAATAAAGCCATGCCACTGCACAAACCATAACCTGTATGAAGACACTTAGCATGTTTGGGATACACTGTAGAGGAAGCATGATTTTTTCTCATCTCACTTTCGCCTAATGACATTGCCTCTTTAAACATCAACATCGCATTAATCACAGTGTGGAATACAGATTCTAAGGAAAGCAGGCTAGTCTTCTCCTGTGAATTCACATAAAGGATGTTCCTCTCATCCAAGTAATTCCAAAGGTGACAAATATTACAGATGCTGAATTTATGGGAGTACTTGCTCCCTGTTTATTAACTCATCCATCTTATGAGAAATAAAAGGGCCAAACAGTGAGACAAGTAGACTTTTCTTATCCTGTCAGCTCAGTGATGTTTTAGAGTAATCAATATTTATAATTATTAAATCCTGCCAGGGCAACTTAACCCTTCACTGTCTCATTGTTGCCTACTTACTTTCTAACATGACAGCAAGAGTAAGTTAAAAGTTAATTAGAAATGATTCTGTTTTGCATTTTGGGAGGCTGAGATGGGTGGATCACAAGGTCAAGAGATCAAGACCATCCTGTTCAACATGGTGAAACCCCATCTCTACTAAAAATACAAAAAAATTAGCTGGGCATGGTGGCACATGCCTGTAGTCCCAGCTACTCAGGAGGCTGAGGCAGGAGAATTGCTTGAACCCAGGAGATGCAGGTTGTGGTCAGCTGAGATCGTGCCATTGCACTCCAGCCTGGGTAACAAGAGTGAAACTCCGTATCAAAAAATAAAAGAAATGATTCAGTTTCAATTAAGACATTTATTTTTTTCACCAAACTTGTTTTCATTTATCTACATCACATCTTCCCTTACTATATATTTATGTAGAATGTATTTTTAATCTGAAACCCATGGTAAAAGAGGCCCTTGTGGCTTTTTAAGTGTTCAGTCTTGATGTGTAGCATGCTGGAAGTCTATAAGTCAGGTAACATTATGATAATGTAGATCTTAAAGTCTCACAATGCTGAGGCCTAACATATTTGAACCATTTATTCTTAGGAGGGAGAGGTTTAAAATGATCTTCAAAGCATTGAAAAGCAGAGGTGACCTGGGTTTAAACAAATGTTAACTAAATTTTTGATGTATAGGAACGGATCAAAAGGCTTAGGAAGGTTGGGATGATGGAGTGGATTAGTCACTTTAGACCTACTCATTCCAACTGGGAAGGTCCAGAAGATATAGCCTTGACCAATGCTTTGTGAAATAAATTTGTGAGGGCAGCACCTGAATTTTTGAAGAGCCCTGTAATTGCTCTTCTCTGTATGTCAGATCTAACAGTGGGAACTGCAGTCACTCAACTATACAATTTAAATACAATGAGAATAATTGGACCTGAGGTGGCAGGGGCCAAGTGGTGGCAGTCAACCATCAAAGGTGAGGTGGTCACAGCTGCTGTAATAAACAACAGAGGCAAAGCAGCAATGTAGAGCTCTGACCTTGGCTAATTAATTATGTTGTTCCCAGAAGTGAAATTGATATGAAGCCTACTGCATTCCTACTCAATTTATATGAGCAGAAAACTTCCAGATTGAGTGGAATGGACAAAAGACTAATTTGAATTATAAAAACAGGGAATCATGACCCCTCAACCATCATCCAGACTTCAGCCAGTTACAGACCCAGAATCCCTTGAATGAAGGGGAGGTCAGTTCCCCTTGAGGAAGGACTCTACTACACTACCAACGATTTATGTAATGACTCTTTCTCTCATCCTTAGCCAAGGAAACCTCCAGCCTTTTACAAGGGTAACTGCATTAAGGAAAGGGAAATAATCAGGAATTTCAGGGACACTGGCTCTGAGCTGGCTAATGTTGATTCCAGGGGTCCCAAAATGTTGTTGTGGTCCTCCAGTTAAAGTAGGGACTTATGGGGAGCTGGCAGAACCCCCACACTGGCTCCTTGACTGGGAGGGTGAGGGCTATTATGGTGGGAAAAGACAAGTGAAAGCCATCAGAGCTGCCTCTACCTAGAAAAATACTAAATCAAACACAATATTGCATCCTTAGAGGGATTGTGGTGATCAGTGCCACCATTAAGAACTTCAAAGACACAGGGGTGGTGATTTCCACCACATCCCCATTAAACTCTTCTATTTGGCAGGTGCAGAAAATAAATGGATCTTGGAGAATGACAGTGGATTGTTTTAAGCTTAACCAAGTGGTGACACCAACTGTAGCTGCTCTAAGAGATGTGGTTTTATTGCTTGATCAAATTAACATATCGCTTTGCACCTGGTATGCAGCCATTGACTTGGCAAATGCCTTTTTCTCCATTCCTGCAGATAAGGTCCCCCAGAAGCATTTAACCTTCAGCAGGCAAGGCCAGCAATGTATCTTTACTGTCCTAGATCAGTGGTATATTTACTTTCTAACTTTGTGTCATAATCTTATTCAGAGAGAACTTGATCACATTTTGCTTCCACAAGATATCACACTGGTCTATTAAATTGATGACATTATGCTGATTGGATCCAGTGAGCAAAAAGTAGTGGATGCTGGACTTATTGGTGAGACATTTGCATGCTAGAGTATGGGAAATTAAACCAACTAAAATTCAGGGAACTGCCACCTCAGTAAAATTTCTAGGGCTTCAGTGGTGTGGGGCCTGTTGAGATATTCCTGGTAAGGTAAAGGATAACTCACTGCATTTGACCCCTTCTACAACCAAGGAAGAGTCACAATGCCTAGTGGTCCTATTTGGATTTTGGAGGCAACATATTCCTCATTTGGGTGTGTTACTCCAGC